TCTCTCTCTCTCTCTCTCTCTCTCCCTCCATCCTCTTTCTGCAGCCCCCCCCCTTCCACTGATGCAGGTGCTCACACACTCGAACGCATACAGCGACACAAACAAACACATACACAAATACACACACAAATACACACCCAGAGGCAGACAGACAGACAGATAGACAGACAGACAGACACTCGCATACGAACAAAAAACTAAATAAAGCTGTAACTTGGACACAACGCTTTTGAGAAGGAAACCAGTATAGAAACATCAACGTTCTTATAACATTTGGAGACCTGTGGGAAAATACGGTACAGTCACATTTTGGTGATTTTGAGCATCTAAGTTCTGAAGTTAATATCTTAAAGATGGATTATAATTATTATACACAGCTCTTAAAGGGATCCTGCCCATTTTCTCTCTTTAACATTTTCTGTTATGTCAAACTGCAGAATCGTGAAGCACGATTGAAAAAGAAACATAAAGAACTAGGAAAAGTGAAATACAAACAAACAAACAATGAGACTCCGTTATTTTCGTCCCTGTAGTCTTCGTGTGTGGGTGGTTGGCGGGTGCTCTGGTGTGGTTTGCTTCTTCTTTTCTATCAAACATCTATCGCCCTTATCTTCCCTTCTTCTTATTTTACGTGTGTTACTCTCTTGTAACACCTCTAATCTTCTGGCGCTCATATGACCGTATGCAGTTGCGAGTGCTGTAAAACCTCTACTGAAACTTTAAAAAAAAGTCTTTGTGTGGTATGATGTTTTCTGACGAAGTTCGTTGCGACATGCTTGTCATAGTGGTACGCGTAGTCGACTTTTGGCACGACCTCACCACGATTGGAGACGAAGAAGGGAGATCATTGTGGGCTATCTCATCGAACTTTTCAAATATTTCACGGTACTCCCCCCTGAGCCCAACTGTCCAATGGGGATTCGACGAAACGCTGAAATGTGCACTGGGTATAACGTGCGTGGATTATTATTTTTTTTTGCCTCCAGAGCTATTGATAAAATTAGATTTAGTTTTTGTCTTACATCCATTCCTTTCAAAAGCTCTCATACTATACATATCCATTTATAGAGTGTGGGTGGTTGGCGGGTGCTCTGGTGTGCTTTGCTCCTTCTTTCCTATCAAACATCTATCGTACTTATCTCTCCTCCTTCTTTTTTGTTGTATGATGCTCTCTTGCAACACATCTAATCTTCGGAATTTATATGACTTTATTGTGTTGCAAGTGCCGTGAAACTCTTACTAAAACAAACACCCATTTAAAGAGTACATGAACTCGACTGGCCAGCCATTCCATTCCAGTTTACTAGTCTCGTCCTCAGAAGAATGCGCTTATTGGAGAGCCTGTTATGTGCTCGCATCACTACATCAGTAAGTACGTCTTCTGTTGTGTACGGGTTGAACACCCTACAACTATAACTAAACACTACCTGCTATTTCGAAGAGTAAGAAAACTGAGATATGAAGTGACTTTGAACAAAAATGAATATCCCACATCAACATCATAAACGATAGTGCTGTTGCGGAGCGGTTTGTGCGTTCGTCTCCGAAGCAGAAAGTCCGGATTCGAGCCTCGGTTCGGACACAGATTTTTTTCGCCCTCTCCTACCCACCCAGCTGTAATGGGTACCTGACTTCGAGTTGGAGAAGTAAAGGCGGTGAGGAAAGGAACTGGCCACCCTACCACAATATGCCAAAGGCCCAGGAAGTTGTCTCACTAACAAGGCAATCCCCAATGTCTGGAATTGCGTGAACAACTTTATTTTTTTGACGTCATAAACGTCCACACGCGTTATTTCCCGTTTAGATGGTTTGCATCTTCTGCCCTTGTGCAGCTGATCCTTCTGTTACCCCTACCCTTGTGGATAAAGATCCGTCTATCTCGTGCTTAACTGTTGGGTTTGACGTTGAATTATTGGAATTTGAATAAAGAGAAGCACATGAGAATATCGTGATGGAAAAGAAATCAAATGAAGTAGTGCTTGATGAAGCCCACGTGGGACGCTCACTGTTAAAAACAATCAGGAAACGACAAATGCAGTTTTGGGACACCTGAATAGACACAAAGGTCTTGAACATATAGCTCCAGCTAGCAAAATTGAAGGCAAACGAGACAGGGGTAGGCCCAGAGCAACCTACTTAGGTAACTCTTAAAAATGGGTTACGAGGGAAGATCAAGGAAACGTAGCATTTTTAAGAGCATCCGAGCAAAGGAATGAATGGAGAACCATGATCGCCGAAGTCTGTCGCAGATCTGGCACAGGATGATGATGACATGTGTTCTATGTTCACCTTCTACTACTTCTTTGGGCGTTTCAAAACAGCGAGACAGAAAGACAGAAACAACAAGTAGAATCGTAAAATATTAGACCTATTAGTGACACCCCAACCTCTCCCAAGTTCCCCTTTTGAGGCTTAGGAGGACTACATACATTTTAATGTGATTTCAAGAGCAGCACATCGACATGATAACGGTTATTCAGCTTCATGGAAAAAAAGCGGGGACACACACACAACAGTACGATCTACCAGTGACGCCCCCCCCCCCTCCCCCCCAGTCATCCTCAAGCTTAGGAAACAAACTACTCCAGAACCTACAAACTCGAACCTCAAAGCTCATTGAGTAACACGATCAAATCTGCTACTGCTTGTCAGAGATGGTGGTGCAGTAATATATTTTTACTGAAAAGATTCTCTCTCTCCCTCCCTCTCTCTCTCTCTCTCTCTCTCTCTCTCTCTCTCTCTCTCTCTCTCTCTCTCTCTCTCTCTCTCTCTCTCTCCGGTGGTTAAAGAGTGCCATTGGTAGCTGCTTGTGTTCTTTTCTTTCATTGGTGTTTCTATCTGTCCATTCGGCTTGTTTTCCCCCGTGCACTGAATGACTGTTGATCAACCAAATATCCCCCTCTCTATCTCTCTCTCCCTCTCTCTCTTTCTCTCTTTCTCTCTCTCTCTTTCGTTTTCTTTCTCCCTCTCTTACTCTATCGCTCTCACACTGTATCTTTCTGTCTTTCCACTCGGTGTATCAAACAGAATTTGTAAGTTGTGTGTGTGTCTCTCTGTCTGTTTGTCTGTTTGTCTGTCTGTCTGTCTGTCTGTCTGTCTGTCTGTCTGTCTGTCTGTCTGTCTGTCTGTCTGTCTGTCTGTCTGTCTGTCTCTGTCTCTCT